GTAATCTAAACGTGCTAATATAGAATGGTTTTAGTTTAGGAATATAAAGCTGGTGAGGTTCAGCCTCAGGTTGCTTCTTGAGTCAATGCTGTGACCTACAAAATAGCTACCATTTGGTGTTTCTGGTTTCAGCTTTATCTGAAGCATTTTGGTGTAAGAATTATAGGGGAAAAGTACGTTTCTTCTAATAAGACAAAAACTGACAGAACTGATTTCACTCAAAAGTAAGCAAAAATTGCTGTGAATTGGAATGAAAGTTGTTAAGTATTGGCACTAGCACAGCTTGTTTTAGTACTACAATTAGAACGAGTCTGCAGCTTTCATATATCCAAACTGACATCAGTCTGGAATGACTTTTCCAGAAAGAGTAGTATGGTGAAGAACAGAGTAATGTGTAGGCATCCTCAGCAGAGGAATGCCAAACAATGAACCATGTGGTTTACTTGTTCAGTTTTTAAAATAGAAACTGCTACAACATGAGTGTATTTCCCTACATCCACCCAGAAGGCTGGACACCGTGCAAATATGGATAATTTAAGTGTGTGACAGGGATACATCTTTAAGAAAGCTCTAGCTTACACCATGGTATAAAATGATCTATGATTTGTAAATAGTTTTCCCAGATTAATTATAATCCTGAAATTCAGAAATATTTTAAATCACCCTGATTATACAGATAGATTCTAGTCTTTTCGTGTATACACATGATATACATAATTAGAGAAATGTGCTTCATTCAAACCAACTGCAATCATGAAATTACTTTCTCCCATTAAACTTTACAGGAGGCTGTGATTACATCCTTTTTATTTTTAATATGAGTTCCCTGCAATTCCCAAGCTCTCAAATGTTTCAAACCAGCTGTAGTAGTAGGACTTTTAATTATACTCTTGCTTAGTGAGTGACATATAGCTCTTTCTCAGTTTGAATTAGCCCTGGACAAACAGATAGGAGTAATGTGAACTAAAAATCTAAATGAAGAACAGCTGTGGACAGAAATGAATGCCTTGATTGAAAACACTCTCCTGGTAGTTTTCTTGAATGTTGCTATGGTACAAAAATTACATTTTTATTATAGGTTTTCTAAAATGACAGGTGTCCTTTAAAGCAGCTTTCCTGTGCTTTTGTCTTTAATTTTGAAGACTAAGTTTTTAATTTGCAATTTACTTCTATATATCGAGAAAGGCAGCACATTATTTTTCCTGCAGTGACTAAACTCCCTTTCCCCAAAAAAATACATCTGGACAGAATCTTTTTTGGGGAAGGGTCTAGCCTGCTTTGGGTATAATTTCTGATGATTTAGAGGTCACTAATGAGCTTACTGTAATTGAAAAATAAACCATAAAATTATTAAACTGTGACATCAATTGAAAATATATTTTTGATAAATTGTATTTTTCTTTTAAAAAAAATTAATTTAGAAAATATGAACATTTGGTTTTAAAAATATAACCTGTGCCATTATAAATATACAAATTTCCTTAACTGATCACTTAATGTTTGATGCATATTTGATGCATTTTTACTTAGGGTAGAGAAGGTTAATAGCATCATACAGAAAAATGACCTGAGCCTTATTTACATAATAGTATCAATTCTACCATGGGAGGTTTTAGAAAATAAACAGGAAAAGTGTAACAAAACTGCCAAAACAAGACCGTCTTAAAGGATGGTCTTTGGAAATGACACTTTGATCTGCCCAGGTGCAGTTGGATTGTTAACTGTGTCAGCAATTGCTCAGCATCCAGCAGATTCTGGGTTTGGTGCTTCTCAGCTCAGTAGCACTTTGTGTAACCAACCACACAACTTTGAAGCAAACAACTCAGGGCAAGAATCCAGAACAGTTGCAAAAGGATAGATTTTTCTCTTTGTCTTGAAGTAGTTGTGTCATTGCTGAGCATGACTTTTCATAACCGGCTGTGCTTCTAAATTCACTTTCTATCGGCTTTGTCTCGTTCATACTCAGGATTTAGCTAAGTGTTCAAATAGAACAGACATGACAAACCTCTGTTGACTCCCATAGCTAACCACCGAACATGAACTGAAATTTAGAGACTTGCTTTTAATATCAGCATGGTATTAGCCTGAGATAAGTGTTACAGTGCTTGCTGGGGACTCAGTATGATTAGATACATGCCCCTGCAGAGTTGACTGACAGAAACTGTGGCAGCATGAGGCAGAAAACCTCAAGTTCTTTGGGATGGCAATATTTTGGTGGAGTAATATTGCTCGTTTCAGCTCAAAACCTCTTAAGGACATCTTTTACTTTGGGGGGTTGAAAGTATGTACCAAACTCTCCCCGAAGAGTCAAGTGGGAAAAGTTTCTCCTGCAGGAATTCAGTTGGAAAATCTAACTCACATACATTGATTCTCTCTTCTGCTGAAGGAACATGTCTCCCTTAACCAGTTACAGAAAGTGACACAAGCAGCTGGTTTAGGCACCTAACTCCAATACTCTCCTTGGGAATTTGTGTAAAACACTCAGAGCAGTGTATCAAAGACATTGTGAATGGTGTCAGTGTCCAAATTGTCCATCTCACAGGACATACTACCAGAAGAATCTACACCAAGGTCCTTTTGAAATCTCTGACTTAATGCTTGTACATGCAGCACTGCTAGTGCTGAATACCCTCTTTGCACAGTAAGTTTCTATAAAACTATGTAGTTTGCTTGGATCAAACAATATCATTACTCAGAGATTAAATTCTGGATTCCTCAGCCAGATCTTCAAATTCTATGAAAGGTTTTTGCAGTCTTCTAGCTGGTATTAATAAGCAAATGTAATATTTTCCACTAGAAACATAGCTAGTCAGAAAATTTCAGTTCATACAATATGAATTGTTTATTGTGGCTGAGATTTCTGTCACCTGCAGGTACTTAAAGATTGATACATTTGGGGTTTTTACATTGCAAGATAAGCTTCATGCAGCTATACTAGAGGAAGAATAGAGAATGAAGGCAAATGTGGATTTTCTAATTACATCTGAGCAAAAATTGATTTGCTTCATATTGCTTCCAAGTGTTCTGTTCTCTTATTTTGGATTAAAACAAACTAGTTTAAACACAAACTAGTGCAATTAAAAAGAAAAATTATTGTTCTTTGATTTTTGTGTTTTGATTAAAGTGATGCAGTTTTCTTAAAAATCCGATGTTCAACCTGAATGCTTAGGCTATTTCAAGAGAACGTAAAACAGCTAACCTTTCACCACCAAAATGTAAACTTTAAGTAATACCCTTTGTCCAGGCTGTCTGAATGTGAATTGAGCATGTTTTAAAAGATCCTAAAGGTAGGCTACAAAAATGCTGCTTTCCTAGCTCCATTTGATAGAAATGGATTCCTGTGTAGTATTTTCAAAATCCCTCACCACAGTTAGTTTTGTTCTGGAATATGACAGCCATTTGCTTTTTCAGCTGAAGGAAAACAAAATAAACAATGCAAAATTGTTCTGAAAATGAACACTGGCAATAAAAGCCCAGCTGCTTCAAGAGGAAGCTGTTAATTCTTACTGGTGTAGGGGTAAATCACAAACTCTAAAGGGCTTTCCTAGGATACATCCAGAGAGGGGTGGGAGGACAGTTGCTGCCTTCCTTTACTTAGACAGCATGAGAAGGACAGCTCAGCCAGAGCTTGGACATGAAATTTCTTCCCACTAATGAGAACTATTTTTAAAGCACTTAGAATGTTTTGTTAGCTATAGTAATAATAATGGAGTTATTAATATAACTTTACTCTGTCTAGACAGATCTATATCTAGCTGAAAATGATGAGAACAAAAAGAAGAGAAACAGATTTATTTCTGAATTCAAACATCTCTAATTCCAAAAGTTTCACTGAGTTCCCACCACCCACCATGCTGAAATGACACCAGTGTGCAAGAAGTTGGCAGAACATGATGCTTATAGCGAGCATGCACCGTTACTTTTTTGGATTGCACCAAGCACTCACTGTCATGTTTAGCAGCCAGGGCTCAAAGGTTGCTATGTTTGGCCAGGGCTGATATCAAAAGTCAGGTGGTCCAGTTATACAAATAGAACTAGAATTTGGTGTGAACCACACAGATGTGTCCCCAAACTCTTGCAGATCAGCACAACTCCCCTGTCCTGTCTCACCTAGAAACCTATGGCCCTGTACCTTTGCACCACAGGCCGAGCAGCCTCACAACCTTCCATCCTTCCAGTGCAAGCGAGTTCTCAGTTCCTCCTGCAGCAGCCACATTCCCCCAAGCTGCAGGTTCATCTCTTGCAAACCTGTGCCATATGTGACCTCCCCCAGAGAAGCTGCCCACTTCCTTTATCCAAGGAGCTCTTCTGGGAGCAGCTCTCTCAAGTCAAGCAGCTGCCTCAAACTTTTCCGTAGGGCAAACTGCCCTCTTCTTGCTTAAGATGCTGTTTCCCACCTACCAGGTGCTTCATGGTTTAACACTTACAGGATAAATTATAGCTCTCACAGCAATGGTATTCTGCAGGTTTTTTCCCATGTATTGTATGGAATTGGGAATTTGGGTAGCTCCTGAATAACAAAGATGATTCCCCAGACTAACTTTCCCTCATTGAACCTCTCATTCTTTTCCTAATGTTAAAAGATGTATTTCAGCATTGTTTCAGGATGTTGAGTGTCTTCCATTTTCTTCTGCTAGAATGTCAAATGCTTCAGCTCCACTAAAAGTAAAGAGCATGACTGCAATGCTGACCATTTTTCTTTCAGTGGTTCATAACCCTCCTCAGGTACAGTGCAACTCTGTGGAAATATTCAGTGGTTTTCAATATTTCTGGATGTTTTAAATTCTGCCTATTAATGTGATTTATAACTCTTGTATTTCCATCAGTGAAAAAAAAAACCTTGAGAAAATGAGCTTGCAGACCTCCTCTTTGGGAGGTGAAGGAAGGGTAATACTGGGTATCAGTAGGGGTGGCGGTGTTTTACTGTGGTGAAAGTGTACCAAGGCCTCCCCACCCAAGATCAGTCTACTCCAGTACTATTGATGCTTTTTCTTTGCCAGGTCACCCCAGACTCCTGAGGTTTTGTCTTGAAGCTTTCTCCTCCACTGTGTCCTGGATACTCATCTGTAAGTTCCCTATTTTTGTCTACATTCAAATCCTTTTCCACCTGTGTGTTCACCCCATTAACCTCCCTCCCCATTCCAAGTCTCTATGTCTGTAGGAACATTTACTGACAAGTCCATTTCTGTTTTTAAAGCTATGGATTTATGAATCTTCCTCATGTCCTCTTTCATTCCCTTGGAAGCAAGCTCCTGCTGGCTGGCTGCACTTATCCCCTTGGATCTGCCCTCAGAAATAAACATGCCCCAGCTCTTGTTTCTGGCAGAACTCTAAGAAAACCTGGACACTGGCTGCAGTAATCAAAAATCTGCTCTGATGGCAAAGGAAAACAAGAGAAGTTTGGGATGAAGTGTCCATATAGAGCCCTGTGTGAACTGCTGTCCTTCAGTTCTTGATTTATTTTACCCCTGGTACACTTTGCTCTTGGTTCTGTAATCACTCGGGGCAACTAGGCCAGCTCCTAAAGGCCCACTTAAATCAGCATCTGTGGTCTAAGTGATCAGAATTACATAAGATGAACTTCAGCATAAGATAACCAGTCCCAACTGAAAGGTACATTGCTGCACAACATATGCAAAATTCACGATCATGCAAAGGATGAGCAAATTGCTTGGCTTTGTTCTCCAGCTCTGTAATCTCTTCCATGTGGGATCATCCCTGCACCCAGTCAGAGCCCTCATGGCCTCCAAGGAGTTCTGTCCTCCCCTGCTGTGGCTCTGGCCGTGAACAGCAGCATTTGACACGATCCTTGAAATGATTTTCTAAAGCTCTTGTTTCCATAGGTGATTTTGTGGGGCTTTTATGAAGCTGAGGGAGAAGTGGAATGAACAAGGAGAGAAGGAACCTGGGTTTGTGCCAGAACATGTGGTGGATAGTAGTAGTCTGATTTCTAAAATGGAGGTGTTGCAGCCAATGAGCTCAGTATTTCCCATATTAATGAATTTTAAGTTTGGCAAGAAGCTGCTTAGACAAACACAAGAAGTGTAACTAGGAAGGATAAGAAATACTTTGTTAATATTACTCTTCCAAGCCATATTTGTATGTACACAAAACCCTCTCTATTTATTTTAATTTCTACTCAGATTAAACAGTGAGATGACTTTAAGTGACCAGTTTGGCAACAGTTTTGAAGGATCATATCCAGAGATAATTTTATTCCCAAACTGAATTATATGTAGCAAACTGCAAGTTAATAATTTGGCCATGAAAGAAATAATAAGATAAAAAAGGATTTCTAATTGTAAGTCAGCCATAAGTATTCCAGAAAAATTAATGTTTTTGCATATTTGGATGTGGTTTTTCTGTTGGCATTTGCTGGGAAGACAGCAAAGTGACAGTGAAAAAAGAGTAGCATAAAATTTTTAAAAAAATTTAATTCTCTTGCCCAGAGTAGCAACACTTTTTTCCCCTGAGTTATTGACCTAAACATCCATTTTGATTTTATTCAATCCTGAAAGGGGTGATGCTTTAGGGTTTTTTTCTCTTTTAACTAAGAATTAGTTGAAACACTTATTTTCCCAAGTTTCTTAGCTTTTCAAAGCCTGCTGAAAGGAGCAAGTATTTGTTTATAGTAGACTCTTCAATTTTTTAAAGGGTTCCATTGGAACTACTGTAGAAAGATAAAATGTTTTGCACATTTACTATTGTATATTCTGTTGCAGTTTTAACTTCAACCCCAATATTTTTCCTTTGCATTCATGCTTTGAATTGGTTTCACTGATGAAGACACAATAAATTATACATAAAAGAAAGTGTTCTTCTAAGACGATGTTCATTAGGCAGTTCTAACTTGTAATGCATCAGAAACCATATGCTTTGTGCATTGGCTCACAGCTGTAAAACTGACTTGAAATTACCAAATGAAGGCTTGGTGCCAGTTTCCAGTGAAACCAATGACAAGACTTCATTTATTTCGATGGTTCAGAGTGAACTGTGCAATATTCACAACTAAATTAAAAGCTTTTGGTTTTGAGCCAAAGTCTCATTTTGTCTTTTGCTGGTTTGTAATGCTGAAAATGTAGGCAAACCCCCTCCCCCTTTTTTAAGTATATGAAGATATTAAAAACTGTAGTCTGTTTTTCAGTCATTTTAGTTCCTTCTGTTTCTTCACTGCAAACCAAGGTGTGGTAACTTAGGGCAGTCAGGCTATAAGGAGAAGGAGACTGAAATGTCAAGTGATATAGAGAGCAGCAGGCCTGTGTGAGCCCTCACAGCCTCTCAGGGGCTGGGGGCAGCTGCTGCCCATCAGTGTCCATGACATACCATTCCACCGAGGATTCCATTCACAGTCTGATCCTGAACACAGGTAGTAAAAGGAGAGACCATCTAATTTATGGGGAGAAGGCTGTTCAAGCACCAAAGGGCATTTTGGGAAGTGTTCCCACCCTTTGTTAAAAATCTATGTAATTTATTATTATTATTGAGCAATATAGTATAGAACTATCATCTGCACTAAGACAAAACCTGTAACATGCCTCCAAATTAATGATGGAAGACTTTCAAACTATTGAAGGGATTTCTGAACATACATCTCCTTGAAAGAAATGTAGATGAGTGATATCTCTTTCACACTTCTCTTGTTTACTTCTTGAAGTGCTTTTCCAACTCTTAAAAGATTTTTGCCCCTTTTAAACTTTAGAAAAGAGGCTAGGCTTGTGTCTTGTAGACTGAAAGTGTTCACTATCTAAGGAAGCTTGAGCCTCTTAACAGGGAGTCCATGCTGGACTTAAAGCAAAAACCTATCTGTAATCTTGGAATCATTGTGAAGCAGAGAATTTTAGTCATTTACAGCTGCCTGGCATTGTTGCTGAGGGACAAATTGAAATGGCTGATCTGCCAGGCTTGTCAACACCTTTGAAATCCGCTGCCTAGCCTGGTCCCCCAAAAGACGCCTTGGAGAGAAACAAGGAGCCAAAGTGACAGACAAAGCCAGAGTCCACCTACTTGTCACATTTTCTTCCTTTGTTTCTTTTCCTCTTTTATAATTGCCTTTCTTTTTGCTTGTTCTTATCCCAACACTAATGTTGTAATATTGGTAAGTGGTTTAATTAGAAGATTTATTAACTTGTGTTTTTAATCTTTATACTGAGAAAAAGTACAAAAAAGTTAACATCAAAATAAAAGCTATTACACAATCCAATAGTTGGGTGCAGTCTGTCCCCTTTGAATTCCATGGCTAAATTCCCATTGGCTTTCATGGGAGCCTATTAAGGAACTAGCTAATGTTATTTTGTAATATGTGTGCCACATGGGGTCTCAATTTAGTCACTTAACTAAAGGCACCTAAACAAGTGGCCTACTTTTTATTGATGTGAATGACTCAAGTAGCTAAATGGGAATACAACTGCCTAATTTTAGTACATCCACAGTTGAATATGGTAACAGCAGTCCAATACCATAACTTCATCTATATGGGCTGGCATTTATCAGTCACACTGGGAATGGCTTAACAAAGAGTGCTTAAAAAACACTTCTGTTGTGTATATCCCATATATCTAAAGTAAAAGAGAACAAAGGAGAAAAGTAAATATGAAACAGAAATCTGGCATTACCTTGACAAAAATAAATTAATACCTGTCTGAGGCTTTGCTTCATATTAGTAATTAATCACCTCTTTTCATTAATTTCTAAGATTTAAAATAATTATTGTTTTAAAAATATAAAGCAATTTAAACTGTTGTCAGAGCTGGGAGAGAGTTTGTCTGGAGCAGCATTCTGTAATTTGGTGAAGATCCAAGAACTGCTTAATTTAGAGCAGAAAGTGTTCAGTGCACTTGGTTATTAAACACCAAACGATAAACAAGTACTTCAATATTTAGGAGATCATGACCTGCAACATCACATAATTAAAAAACATTAGGTTTCCAAGTCGCAGTAATAAAAACTAAGACTCTTAGAATTTACAAAGCCATTGTTTGCTCTTTTCATAGGATGAATATTAAAATTTCTCTTGTCTGTTTGAGGATTAAAGCCAAATCTGATTTTTGTTACACCTTTGTAAAGAAGAATTGCAAGTTCCACTAGTAGAGATTTTAAAAAAATGTATTTATTCAGAAACTATGGTCTTTATAAGAATAGATGTATGAATGTCTGCTGGCTTTAAGTGTTAATCAACATATACATTCACACAGAGCATATGAATAAACCCTGTCACTTGACACCACATATTTTATTCCTTTAGCACATTGACGTGTGAGCTTTGTGATTTATCCACATATGTATGATGAGAAGTCTCATAATGTTTCCCTTCTCAGTGACACAAAGGTGCTGGAGTTCTTTGCTTTTTGACAGCTTTCAGTGTGTGATTATGGGTTAGACTTTTGGTAAACCCTGAACTATTCTTTACTTCATTTTCCCTGGAGAGCTGTGTACAGCTTCTGCGTGTTTATCTCAGTTCTCCATTTTTTATTTGGACCTTCTCAAGAAAGTGTCAGAATTCCTTCTGGCTTCCACTTATTGGTGTGCAAGATGCCTTTCTTGTTTAGGATAAAGACATATTTTAAAGCAAAATATGCTGAAGTGAAGATCAAGCAAACTTTGCTGAAGTGTCCACTTTTCAAGCCTCAGCCTTACAGAATGGGAGAGCCTAATCTTCAGAAACCTCTCTGCCAGGTGGTCTTGCTTTGACCTTGTTTGGGTCTTCAGAAACCACATATGCTTGTTCAGACTGTGTCATCTATTTCAACAGATTTCATCCACCAAAATTTGGTAGGGCCTGAGAAGATGTTCCTACACCCTGAAAAAATTTGTTGTATTTTTGCTTGTTTTTTTGGCTGTTAACCCCAGAATGGAAGCACCAGTTAAATCTGCCAGGAAGAGAATTCAAAGAAAAAAGGTACTTTCCATGTTCTATGCCTTTACCCCAGGAGATCTCTGGGTCCTAACAGGTTGACTGGGTCACTCTTGTCGCAGTAGCAAGTATTATGAGTAACACAATCTTTATTGGTAGTGCTGAGTGGTTGGAAACAATTTTTGTATTGTCACGATTTCTGGGACATGACACAAATCCAGGCCCTTCATCACTGACACCCAGTGTCCTCAACCCTTTGGGCATCTATCTCCTGCACCAACTGTATGAACTTGAGGTGTTAAGAGCACATTTCCCTCATTAGCCCTGAGATCCAAACCAAGATTTCAGTACCAGCAGAAGTTCCTTTGTTTCTCCTCTGAATAAAAAGTGCATTTTATGAGAGGCAATGAATGCAAGCAACCATGGGTGGGCAGAATGTGTGTTGGAAGCTGGAGCTCATTCTTCAGCAGAGACAATGCCTTTCTGCATTGCTGCTGGGTCCTTTGATAGGCTTCAGAGAGAGCAGAAGAAAGGAATCCTTGGCCCTTAGTGATACTTGCCTGAATTTTGTTCCTAGAAATATGTGGAGTGTGTCAGGATGAATACTTATACTTATTTCAGACACCAGCTTGACATGTTCTGCTTCTGTTTTGTTATCTTTTATCTTTCTCCAGGAATAAATCAAACCCTGGATGTTATTGAAAAGACTAGTGTGCCTTTTCATAATTGATTAATTGAGTAACTCAAGTTTTTTATTTTATTTTTTTTAATCTTCTGGGCCATGTTAAGGGAAAATATGTTTACAAAATGAGCAGTATACTTTATGTCGTTCAGATGGATTTCTGGCTCTTGGCCTTCAAATTTCTGAAATGGTTGATGAAATTGATTCCATTCCTTAAGGACTTTTCTCCTCCATGAGACTTGAAACTGGTGCTAATAACACTTACTTACATCCTCTCTGTGAACCTGCAGCAACTTCCTTACTGACATATTTGTCAAAGATGCTTTTATTATTGAATATTGTGTCCTTTGGAAGGGTAAGAGAATATTTTTCTATCATATCCATTCTTCCTGGGATGTTTCTTTCAAGAGCTATCATTATTTCTGGCTCAGAATTCCATCTCAGTCAGAAACTTAAATTTTGTCAATTATTAATCTTTCCTCCACAGTTTGAATGTTAGTAAAGCTCTACCTTATTTCTTGTTTCTCTTCTTATTTCTGACAGGATAAGAAATTCCAGGTGTTTTCTGAGGCTCTTTCTGTCAGCAGCTTAACAATCTGGGGGTGTTGTCATCTTTGTGTGCAGACTATTCCTATAGATGAGAGGCTGTCATGGCCTGCTTTGCAACTGCAGTCAGGACTGCACCCATGATTGGAGAGAATGCCACTAGTGCCTCAGCTAAGTGGGTGGTTATGCTGAAAAATTTCACCTTCCCTGTCCTCTGGTGAGCATTCATGTGGCACTCTTTTCAATTTCATGAGATCCTTGGCCATCTAGTGCTGCCCTTGGCAGTGTTCTTACAATTTTTATTAGTATGAAGAACTTCCATTACCTCTCTGGGGTAAATATTCAGCCTTCCTCTGGGCTCATGTTGTATCAATATACATGTGTGCGATCACCATGAAATAGGAGAACAGCTTATTTAAAAGTAGGACATTTTCTTCAAAGTATGCATATAGATTTTCTGCTTGCAGTGGACATAAAGAAAGAGAAAAAAGTAACTTTTTCCTCTAGAAAAAAGAGTGGAAGGGAAAATGATGTAGAAAGAAAAATTACATGGTCAAAAAGCAAATGTTTTCCCTACTTTCATCCATGTCATGACTGTATTTGTGCACTACATACATTTGCTGGTATGTTGCCTCTTCTTCTTCTTTCCAAAATCTGTGTGTCAAAAATGCTAACAGAACTATTAGCACATTGAATGGGTCATCATACTGCTTTTGGGAAAGCATTAACCAGGGATGCTGAACTTCACTTCTTGCTTTCAAAGTCTACCACATCAATAAATATCAGTAATCATCACTGTTACTCATTAGCAAGTAACCAGTTGCAACTACTGGGATCTAGAGGCAATTTTTTTTCTGAACATGCCTTTCATGCTGACAGTTGCTTAATTGGTGGCAATAAGCTTGCTACTGGGGTGTGAAAAATCTGACACCTGCTACATCCTGGGTATAAATATTTCATAAAGATCCTATCTACTCAAGTGATGCCCAGGAGTTCAGGATTTGACTCTTAGCATGAGGGAACTATTGTGGCTTGCTTGTGTTAAATGTCCTGTTGTTTGCCTTCTTCCAGTGCCCTTAGGAAAGTTGCTTCACTTTAACCCCAATTTTATGGCTGTCTCCATTTTTGCATCATGGATAAGAAAGATTTTGTGATGCTTTTCTGTGCTATGTTTAGAATATTAAATTCAAGACCTGGAATTTCTCAGACAAATTCAAAGTTACTCAGGACCTCCCAGGATCTGTCCCCCAGTAAGAACAGAGAAAGGAAGCCATTGCAGTGGTTGGAGGGCAGAGTTATACAAAAGGTTACTAAACATTTTTGCTTGTGCTTGATGACTTCCAACTGCCCTGCCACCCACCTTCTTGCTGAGCCAGAAGCAAATTTGAAAAAGAAACCGCTGTGCATCACTTCCCTAGCAGAACATGCTGCAGACAAAAAGAATCGAAACCACAACTAGAGAATTGGATTTCCCCTGCTTTCTCCAAAATAAATATTTGTTTGCGACAAAAGCAGCTGGAAGAATGAGGCATGTACCTTTGACACTAAAGGCTTGTGTGTTTGTGCCAGCTGCAGGAGAGGTATGATCCTCCACTGAGTGCTATCTAAGGTCAGGCTGAGCTCCATCTCCCCCAGCTTGTGAATTAACATCTTCAGCTACTTGTACAAAACCGAGAGAGGATGAAGGCCCAGGGAGTCCAGTAGGAATCTATAGCAAGTGAAAAGCAAAATGAGCAGTGGGGCTGCCTCTTGGAGTTGCTCCCTACACTGCTTCTTCCAAACAGCATCATCATTTCCTCCGAAGCCATTGTGGAGCAGCCTCATGTGCTGGCTTGTGGAAAGAGCTCCAAAGGGATGACATTGGTACAAAAGCATCTGTATAAGGGCCCAAGCCCAGCAGGCAGCTCACAGCCATTATCTGGGAGGAGATAAGCAGCTCCAGGAGATGGTTCACGAAAAGGAAAGGCAATGAAGGTGAACTCTGGAGTACAAGGACTGCATCCACTTTTGGATGCTGACTTTGAAAGGATCCATGCATCTCTTAGCAAGGCTCATTCTTTAAACAAGCCCAGTACTACAGATCTCTGTTTTGAGCAGTAGCTTAGCAGTTAAAACTTCTAACTTGGAAGTGGACATCACTGGTCACAACACCCTTACCCTCACGGTTTAAGTGGGTTTACACACCAGTTCTCTGTTTTTTCAAAGTTTTATATTCTTCAAAAGAATTCAAAAGGTATATTCTTCAAAGGATTATATTCCTCCTGTGAGTGTTGAAAAGGCAACAGATTAGTAGTAGAGGAGATAGCAGAGCACTGTTGCCAGCTGATAGAGTCAGCTGGAAAAGCCTTTTCTGAACTCTGGAGAGCTGGTCATGAGGGATTCTAACAGGAAGGCTGTGGATGTGACAGATATTCCTGAACTTTGAAAATCAAGTGCCCCATCACTTGTTTTTTCTTTGTTTTTCTTGTAACTTATGCTTTACTTTTTGTATAAAGGTGCAATAAATAAAATATCTGGGACGAAGATTTGTCATTAAAGGGTCAATTTTTATAAGCAGTTACCATATGAGATTATCTGGAGCACCACAATTATGGCCTTTCGCAAGCTGAGGGAAATGTTGTGGTGTCTCATATGGCACCATTTGCTAACACTTAGCCAGAAGAGATTTTTATGGTCAGCAAGCACTGTAAATTCATAATGTTTAGCTTCACATTTTTTTTCTCTTGTCCACTTTTCCAGTTCTCATTTTCAGCTGTTACCTGGCATGAATTTGCACAGAAGAACCTCCCCTGTCATCAGAAGCCAGAAAAATCCATTCAGATTAGGAGACGGAAGGAGATTTAGAAAGAGAGTCTCTGTTGGATCATGCTTGTGCCTTCACAAAAGCCATATTTTTATTATGCCCTTACATAACCTGTCCCCTGTTTCAAATACAGCTTGAAAAAAAAACCTCCTTCGTACGAGAACATGACCAGCTGAGTAAATAAAAAAACCTGTTGAACTTGTGGATTGTACTTGCTGAGGCCCTAACTATTTTGATACATGTGCCTGCATAGCAATACATTTTGGAGAGAAATAGTGATATTGAGACACATGAAAACAGTTGGTAAAGGATACAAGTTAACCTGAAAACATATTCCTGGTAACACGGTTAAAGGAAAGGGAGAAGTGCTCAAAGGTAAATTCAGGTCAATTGGCGTCTTCAAAAACAAGACTTGGATGACTTTTAAAACAAAGTCATATGCAAAGAGGGAACAAGTCACAGAAACACCAAATTTACCACAGTGTCATGAGAGTGGAAAGGAGGAAAAAAAAATGACAAAAAAGAACTCAGCAGTAAAATGAATATATTCATGCAGTGTCAGTCTCTCCAGACAAGAAATGGTGCCAAGCAGAACCGCATCAGCGTGTGGCCGCTTCTTGCACTGACACTAAAAACATCTGTTGAGGTACAGCATTTATACTGTCTGCCAAACAAGAGTTTTTTAATCTTAAAACATATGCTGGAAATAGGAAAATTTGGACAAGAACAAAAAGAAAAAAGAGGGGTGGGTGGCCAATAAATTAAAAGTGAGAAGTGGGGAAGGACAGATTGGAGACAATGTTTTCCACATAGTGCATCATAGTTAATTCAAGTCATCTCAGGTCACCAAAGAAAGGAAAGCTCATGAAGGAATTCACAGATTGCTCAGAGAAGTTGAAAGCAGCAAAGTGGTGCTCTTCATGTTCATCCTTCAAACATTGGGTTTTGAACAGTTAACCCTAAAACTCAGGTTTTAACAAGTCTGGGAATACATCTAACTTGAAATGCAAGAACTGATGCTGACAGCAATACTCTTATTTTTCAGGCATGCTTATCTCACATTTTTTGCAGAAAGCATGTATTTAAGCCCCCCAGCTGAGACAGGGCCTAATATTGACTCTTCAAAAACTGTGCCTCCAGCCTATCGGGTTAAACACTTATGCAAACAAATTTTAGATACATACAATAAGTAGTTTTTTTAAAGATTATCACCTTTACATTTATTTCTCTAGTTGAAGAAGCTAGAATAGAGAATTCAGAAATATTTCAGTGAGAATAATTGTCAGATATAACCAAAAAAGTTATTCAACTATTTCTAGGATATTTTTCAAATAAAGTTGCTAAGTATTCCTCCTGATAAAATATTAGAAGGTGGCTTATTTTCATTTCTGAAATAAACTATATATTTTCATAGTTTCAAACATTGTTTGGTGAAGTCATCTAAGTGATCCAATTCCTGAATACCATAAACAGGTATGAATAAAAGATTTGATTTTGTGTCACTGACCCTTTCAAGATAAGAAATTCTTTCATTCAAATTAGTGTTTCTTTGGTACCATCTCAGGTTTACAGTATGTGGTACATGTCTTAAGATAGAAACAGACAATGAATCTGCTTTTATACAATTTCTCCACTCAAATAATTCCATGTAAATTGTGCTTTCAGAAGAGAAAGTGTGCCTAGAGTAAAATGCAGCCCATAGAAATCAAGGAGGAAACTCCCACTCTCTTCAACAGACTTGAGATTTCATCTCTAGAATACTTGACTTTCAAGTATAAAAGATTTATGCTTAGTGAATCACTAGATATGGTAAACTGCACGTTTTCAAAATCTGCATCAAATTAATTGTGCTGTATATCTTTCAAGATTTGCTTTATTTTATTTCAGTTCCATTTAATAAATATAATATTCTTGAAAAGCACCATAGAAATGAACAGATGAATGGATTATACACTCTATCACTTACAGAAGTTTTTGGTCCTTCTAATGTGGCAAATGGGACAATTTAGACTTTGGATTGTGGTAGATTACACCCACTTTAGATAATTTCTTTCTGGGATATAAAACATGTTGGACAATATGAAAATCAAATTCTAGAATGAGGTGATAGGATAAAATGGGAGATGTTTCCTAAGGACAGTACTCAGAGCTACATAATTTTCTGCCCTACTTGATAATTTTTGGCTTTGACTGAGTTCTGTATATTAGATGAGTATGTAGCTGAGTTTTACTTGACATTTATGTCCTTGTAAAAATACAGAGATTTTGTGTGCCCACATAACAGTTATTTTCAATTTTTTTTTTCTTCCTAAATGCTAAGAGAATATTTTCTATGATCATCAAAAAGCAAAAGACAGTTTAAACCTATGGATACCTCTCCTTTTGTTGTCAGTGCCTCACAGCTGGAAAAGATGCAATTAGCACAGGTATTGGTGAAAAATTTCATTGGCTCTTCTGTTAAAATGCTGGTAACAAATTGCAGTTATTTCTCCATGACTGGAAGACAATGTTTTAAAAGACCACTAGGAAATAAAGAGTTCTAGGCTGAATTTTTCAATCAGATAATTTCTGTTAAAGTTCAAGATTATTCAGATGTATCAGAGCTTTTTTCCTCCCAGTAGGAGACTTTCCAGTGCTCTGCAACAAGTGGGAACATAGATCATGTGTAAATGCATCTTGCAATATCCTTCCTCCAGTGAATGCTAAGTTTCTTGTGAGACCAAAGCTCTGGCTGAATCTTTGGTGTTTTTGAACACATCCTCTCTTTTAGGGCTGTGAACTAAATTTGCAGATTATCTCCAATTTAATTTGCATTCTTATTTCTCAAAGAAAGCTGACTAACCTTTTCTTCCTTGCTCTATATTTGTTTGTCTTTAGTGAGAATCCACACACTGCTCATTGCAGTATGGAAGCCTGAGCTGTAAGTGAAATATTGGTGACTAATAGCTGTTGACCTGCATGTTCAGAAACAATTCATACACAATGGATTAAATAAATAGATATATTAACATGATGGTGTGATTAGAAAATTCATCCTCTGGTACTTGTCTGGGCTCAATTGACCATAATCAATGACTGATTTAGGTCTTTGATTCTGTAAAAAAGCCCCAAAACACCCCAGCTGGTGGCATTTATGTTTTTTTCAGTTCTTTAGACAACATAAGAAAAGCAGTTTAAGGTTTCACCAAACTGTTGAGTTTTGAAAAAACATTTTTCCCCTTAATTTGAACCATCATTTTCTAAAAGAAAGTTAAATTAAAAAAACAGCTAACATGTTTTTGTAATTAAACAGAGTATTGGGCTATGCAAACAATAAAGATCCTTGTTTGAAATTAATTCTTGTCCTGCTTCTGGGATTACCAGGGGAATAAAATTATAGCAAAACAAAAAAACCTGCTACAGTCTAGAACTTGCACTTTACCAGAAGCAAAAGGAAATTTAGACTCAATATGAGTTCTATTCTGTTTCCAAAAAGCATGATTCTTGAGTTTGATATAAATTTGACAAAATGAAAAATCTCATCACTCCTGTCACCAGAAGCCAAAGTTTTACCTCTAATTTTTATTCTTTATAGCTTGCTAGTTTACTTTTCCTCCTCTGTACCTAAGGGACATTTTGATTCTCAAGACTGTGAAAACAAGAACATCTAGTCAAGAGTCAATTGTCCATATTATAAAGAAAAAGATTCCTCCTAGGGCAGGAAGATTGCCTGGAGGTGGGAAAAATCTCATAGAAAAATCTGAAAACTTTTAGGTTGACTGTATTCTTCTTTTATATTTATGTGAAAATTAAAGAAAACCAAAAAACCCACAAACAAAACCACAAGAGGCAATATCTGACCAGTGATCCTGTGTTAAAAACCCCAGAAACTGTTTTTAGAAACAGGTCATATTTCTGTGAGGAAACATTGTTTGTCAATTAGCATAGTGAAACACTCAAACAGGCTTCTGAAGTTTAAGTCTTGTAGGATATCATAGGATTAAACGTATCAGTTTGGGGATCTCATTCTTCTGAGGGTGCCTCTCTGCTGTAACTACGCATCAGTCCTTTGCTCTGTTGAAATCTAACCATCTGTTTTGTGTAGAGCCACTTGCATAAACTATTGCTCCCCTTATTCTTTGTGTACAGAGCTGCCTTTTGGAACACAATGTCTGGTCAAGTTCCTTGGCCCACAGATTTCTTCGTCTTATCCAGTTGTCCTGCCCCAAGTTCCCCAGTTGTGCTTGGGTTCTCAAGAGTCCAAAGTCAACATTGTAGAGGCACGGGCATGCTGAGTTTGTGGTTGAGGGCACATCCAAATATTGCTACATCCCAGATTTAGTTTAAATACTTAGCATAGCCCATTTATTCTAATTAAATAAATGATATTTCTCCAAAGGAAAGAAGAATGGGGAGAGAAAATGAGCAGGGATCAACTGCTGAAGTGTTCCCTGTGTCAAAAAACATGAGCATTCCTGTAACATTACACTGCCTCTGTCACCAGGGACTCAGCGGCCCAGTTTCAAGTTTTTGCTCAGTGCTCCAAGAGTCCCAAGTCACAGAGCTATGCCCATGACTTAATACTGCCAGCATAAAGCAGATTTTCTGAGGAAATTTTTCAAGTACTTTTTTTTTTTAAAATCATGTTTTCTTCAAGTTGAAAAGTCATATTGCCTCCCTAAGGGCCAGAGGCTAACACGTGGAATAGATATCAATGAATTGTTTTCATCCTACAAGCTGATGAACATGTCAAAATTCCTTCAGTCTCTTCCTTCTCTACTGGGGAGTTTTAAAGATATAATTTTCTTTGCTGTGCTACCTATCAGGTAAATGGTTTGTCGACCATTTTAATGAAGTTTATGTACACATTTAAAATGTTTAAAAATATGTCAGAATGTTGATTTATCTTGTTACTTTATGAATTTTTTTGTTCCAGCTTCCATTTCTTCAGGCTGGCATTCAAATGATATAAATTTTCAGCGAATGCTTATGGTTACTTTATATCCTTCTAAGACAGGGGATTTTGCTGTATCACTCACTACATAATAAAATAAATGGAGGAAAACTTCTCAGAGCGCCTACTGCCAATTTATCCTAGAATGTCTCGGCTTGTACTGGCGCGTGGCCTGACCACTGCAGCAGCACGGTGTGCTCGTGGCCGCGCTCCGGCCAGCGGCTGCCGCGCCGCTCCATCGCCGACTTGCTGTGTGGCCCTGCGCAAATAAACCAGCCTCGGTTTTCCTTGCTCGTAACGGTGGCAGAGCTCATCTCCAGCACCGGAAGGCCGAGACTCGCGAAGATGGGATCCAAGAGCAGCGCACTTTGATCCTGCAGCCGGGTCCAGGGCAGAGGGCTGGCAGCCCAGCTGGGCTGGCTGTGCCGACCCATCCAAGGTGGGATCGGTGTCGCAGGGTTCACCCTGGGAACCCTCCTGCTGAAGCCATGACTGGGTTCCCTGACTCCATTGAGCTCTTCCCGAGTGTTTCACAAATTAAATGAAACCCAGTAATGTAACTTTTTATCATGCCATGAATGTATAAAAATATCTAAAATAGTAACAGACAGGCACGCTTTGTGAGTATTGTTTATAATTTAACTATCGTGAAAAGACAGTTTACACCTATTCTAGTATGTAACTAGAATAGGTGGAAACTTGTTTGGGTCACTGAAAACCCAGGCAGAAGGCCATGGGAAAACCCCTCTTTGTCATGGAGAGAAAAGACAGTACCCACACTGCCCCTTGTTTGTAGGCATGTAAATGTTACTAGAAAGTTCCCTGTTTCCTCTGCTGTCATTGGTTTATTTTTGCTGCAGAGTTTTAAATATTCCTAACCACCCCACTTCATTGGACCCTTACCCTCGGACTCCTCCTCTATCCTGGTTTATATAAGTTACTGTAACACCCTAAGCCCTGCCCTTTTGGTGTATCCTCTACTTTGTACGGATTACGTGTTTGTTGTTTTACTACTAAAGCTTTTTATTTTCGGGTCATCAAATTGAGCCCGTCCTTCTATTATTTCACCACTTTGTCTCCATCTGGTCTGGTCTCAAAGTCGCGGTCCCCAGCCACGACAGAAGCTCTCTCTTCTATTACTTTCTAATAGATAAATAGAATATCGAAACAGATCATATCTGTGTTACAATATTAACCATATTAGGATCAAAAACTTAATTCAACTCCTTCATTACTTTTGCAAAATGCAGAATTGCATTTGCCCCATGTTGTA